CCTCTTTCAAAGAAACCTGATGAACGGGAGACTGTAAGAGGGAAGTCAGCGATAATTTTGCGTACTACCTAAGCAGACTTGGAGGTTTAACGAATACATCAAAAAGAAGAATCCTGGACCCAGGACAACTGTTCAACAAAAGGGGATTCACGTGTGAGATGTAGGGTATGAAATTAAAGGCTTAAGGCATAGATGGGCTAGATAGAGGTCACCAGTGAGTGTGCGTAAGTGTTGTGTATTTTTCGTATATGTCTGAAGGGGTGACTGGTGACGGGCTTGACCACAGGGGATACCAGCCAACACACACACAGGAATATCATGCCAGTACCATAAGATTAGATGGGCATGAAAACTTGGGAGATGAGAGGAGTGTGCTTTTCGCGATTCAAAGTAAAAAAGGAAAGCGGTGAATTCTCACGCCAGCGGTTATAACTTAAGCCAGACAGACGGACCCAAAGAATGAGAAAATGTTGGTAGGAGTAAGGGAGAAAATAATTAAGTCATGGATTTGAAGCCTAGGGAGAAAAAGATTCCCAGGCACTAGCATATGCATGGGCATCATCTGCTCTAATATGGCGTAATCGAGGATGGGAATTGAAGGCTCATAGACAAACAGACAGTGATTTTGGTGTTCAGCAGTGGCCAATTGAAAAGTGGGTAGGACATAAAAAAGTGGAGGACAGAGTGTAAGTCAGGAACCCTGCAAACGGCATCTGATACTGGTTGTGGAGATTATTACGCTTCACTAAATCCACTTGAAGCGACATGCTCTTAGGCGACATTGGAGTAAATGAGAGCACAGAATTGTGTAAATAAGTGGATGGGCCATATAAGTGAGGGTGAGACAGAGGTAGAATAAAAATAGGGGCAAGGAGTGATGCCAGAAGGGTTGAACAGAAAATTGGTCAAGGGGATTCCCCTCATTTGTCACTTTGATAAGTTGTAAATCTGTGCTTACGATGGCGCCTCTCGCAGACAATGCCAGCGAAGCGTACGATCCTCAAGGTCCCCCCGACGCTCCGACCAAGTTACGAAAAAAGGTCGAACCAACACTATGAAGCTAAAAGATGTTGCGACGAAACAGAAGGCCCCACCATCTTGGTCTTTATATCTACGATTGGATGGAAAGTATAGGGATAAGTCATGAGAATCCCTTCACTAATCAGTCAGGCATGTAGATTTTAGGGTTGTAAGTGCCTTCAGGTGCCTTATTTACACATCTTTTGTCCTAAACCAAGGAAAGGATAGATTATTTTTTTAATATAGGTCATTAGTTTAAGACTGAAGTCCTGACGGGACCAAAATATTCAGACCAATATCCTCAAAGCAGGCCAAACAACAGTGATTTTGTTATTTTTACGACTACCCCATCTTTTTGACAATGATTATTCAGAGCCGACAGAGCTGTCTCCACGTTTCAATGATGGTATCTGGGCCGGCATAGGCAATCCGTTTTACCGGAGGCTTCGAAAATATTGTGCATTATATTTTATCCTAGATATGAAGACCAAGATGTTGTGGCCTCTATTTTGGTCGCTGTCTCGTTTCGGTGTATAGAAATGGCTTCACCTCGTTTTCGCAACTTGGTCGTGTTATCAAGGCGACTTAATTGGGCGCACCTTGTCCGAAGTCTTTTGCTTTAGTAGTTATGATAATTATTAATCTTATACCGTGGACTTGGTACAGTCTCTGACGTTTCGCCAGCATAGTCAGTGATTATTGCCATTCTCAGCATCAAAATACAACCAAGCTACGTCTCTTTGAAGAGTTTTGGCTTGATGTTGAAAATGTCAAAACTCATTAATGATGCCGGCGAAACGTCTGGAAATGTATCAAATCTACGGTCCAGCGCTGGGAATTATCATAACTACTACAGCAGAGGACTTCACACAAGGTGCAACTAGGTTGCCGTGACAACATGACCAAATTGAGAAAACGAGGCGAGACCGCTTTTATTTTATCTTGTCCACAGTCATGACTAATTAATATTTCATTGATCACTATTTAGGGATTTCTAGCTTCCGAAGTTAATCAATGAGTGTAAAAATGTAAGTATCAAAGGGCAAAAAATTAATTTAATAGTATTTTGTGCATTACAAGAGTTTTACCAAACAAGTTCGTCAATCTAGACTTCGAAGTGGACATAGTTATTATGAAAGGAGAATCTCATTAGATGGAGTGTATATTAAGTACTGATGTTTGTTTGCTTAAGACCCTCTTTTGCTATGAAATATCACCTTGCTTTATAGTCTAAAGATAATCAATTAACATAAATTGATTAGGAAATGAAGAAAATATAATTATACCGGTTAATATTTTTTTGATAAACATTGAAGAATGAGAAAAAATAGCATCAAAAAAAGAAAACGGAAGGTCTGACTTCCATCTCACATATCTCACTTAGAATTACTGAAGCTAAATAATTAATAATTTAAATAGCAATATCACCTATGGATGGTTCTCAAGAGCTTTAAAGGCTACTTGGAACACAACTAAAATTCTAAGTCGATTCATCCTGAGCCGTGTTAGGAGACAGGAAAGCTGCATAAACATTAGTGTCATGATCATGAACAGTCATACGGTAGCTAGAGGCAATATCTATTCAGGAACTTCAGCTATATTGTGGCAAAGGCTTTTGTCTCACAATGGGTTTCCAGATTTGTCACTCCTGTACTGCCAGACCTGCGAACCACAGCTAGGGTAAACATCGAATACAGTACAGCATAGATTGCCTGTGGATGTCAATTGCATCCACGTAGTTGCCTAACTATACTAAAGTTTGCTTTCCAGAAGTATAAAGAGTAAAGAATTTGGCCACAATTACGGGAAAATCCAGTAATATCCGTTGAAATCTATATTCACCAAGTCGGTGGTATCAAAAGATCTTACAACATGCAAATACGTTCTGGTCCGAGATGACAGTGTGGTGTGTTCCTTTGAGCGACACACTATATTTAATTAAACACGGTAAAAATTGCAATAGTAAAGGCATGATAGGATGATACCGGAAACGCAAATAACCCAGGACAGAAGGGGAGATACTACAATTGTTCAGCACACGTTTGGTCAAAGGATCGGCTTCACTTGTCTCTTTTACGAGTTGTTGTATGGTGCTAAGAATGGCGATACTCACTGACGATGCCGGCGAAACGTTTGGGAATGTACCACGTCCACTGTCCTATTCTGGAAATGATGATGCATACAATGGACTCTGGACTAGGTGCGTTCCTTTCAGTCTTCCTACCAATATGACCATGTTGCGAAAATAAGGTCAAACAACCTCTATACAACAAAAGGAAACTGCGACCACACAAAAGGCCACATCATCTTGGTCTTCATACCTTCAAATAATCAAAGCCTGCAGTAGAATGGCTCCCACTTGATTAGGAATCAGGCTGGATTCATTTTTATATATTAAACTTTAGGCATATCCAAACAGCATATAAGGATAAAATTCATTTAAAAATGCTATAAATTCACTGGTTCATTTGCATAAACAGATAAAAGTGTACAAGTAAATCAGAGAAATAGATTAATAAAGGGATTGTGATTCCCAAATTCTTACTGTCCATATAATAGAATTAAAAAGTATTCAGTTTGGATTGCAAATTGAGCCCTTACCTCACCAATATGATCTGAACACATGCTATAGAGGCCAAAAAGACAATCAGCAACAATATCAGCAGAGACGCCTCCGATAGAGGAACCAGTTTTGGTAGCGTCCGTGACGGCATCATCAAGACATACACGCAACAACCAGGCGATGCCACATTGACTATTGGATGATGGAGTCGAGGTCACATCTTCGACTGAGGCTGACACCTCCGGGCCAAGAAGGTTGGCGACCAAACTAGGGTGGCTATGTGGCAATAGGTATGGAACATGGGCCCCAGTACGAGACGCGAATATGCTAGAAGAGATACAAGAGAGTGCCAAATGACGTTGGGCAGGCACTCCTGAGCGGGAAAGGTGGAAAAGTTCTTGTAGAGAATAGCCGGCTCGCTGCAATAAAAGAGTAATAACGTAGTAAAGTAGATCAAACTTAAATAGTTCGAAATAAACATTTTAAAGCAAAAGCTCCCAGCCATAGTGACTCAAGAAATAAAGATAAGGTATGATAAATTGAGTATTATTAATTCGGGCATTTCGTGAAATAATGATAATAAATCTCAACTTCAAGTAAAATAATATAAAATAAAATATAAACGCCTACCTCTGGTTCCTCGCCATGATGATGAAGGCCAAGATGAGTTGCAACCATAGCTCCAGGTGGAACGATTCGGCCAGTCAAATCAAAGCGAGCAATACAAGGCTTATCTACAGCATTCTTAAAATGCGATAATAGTGTAAAAGAGTAGTGGAGGTCTGAGGTATTTTATTTGGATGTTTATAACTTACCTTGGTTGCATTGATGGCGAAGGCACCTGACGCAAGGTTTATACCTATAGGAAGAGTCCATGCAAGTTTGTCATATTCAAGAGCATCCATATGTGGAACAGAAGGATTAGGAGAAATAGGATAAAATGAAGTAATTTGGGAGCGTGATGGCTCAGTGAAAGAGTATTCAGACTGAACCTCTGGATCATCTTTATTATTCGCAGAATGTATTGACTGGCCCTTGTTTGCCCTTATCAAATTAGACTCTCTTGAAAGCTCATCAACACCAGCTGGGGGTAAACATATAAGTGGACGTTCAACTTGCCTTTTGTTTTCAAAAGAAATGAAATTATATTAGGGTCTGAAAATACAGAACCAAAAAGGCATACTTGTGCTTGACAAAAGTTCGGCTTGCTCATCAAGAATTTCTTCATGGGACATAGAGTGTAGCCTATCTAAGTTTTCTTTATGTATTTTTTCGACATCAGATAAACGCATTCCAAAGCCATCCCCTCTCAAGGAGATTGGACCTCTGTTTTTCATAATATTAAGGAGATTCATCTCTAAAAAACG